GGCCTCCCCTAGCCGCCCCCAAAATACCCAAGCCCTGGAACCCCGCACACCTGGAGGTAGTTTGTGGTCGCGTCCCGCCGCTGCTTCTGCGCCAGCGTCTCCAGCCGCCGCGCGGCCCGCCCAAACGCGAGCCTCAAGTCGTCCACCCTGCCCACGATTCAAGCGCGACGCGCGAACGGTTTGCTAGCAACGGCGGGGGCCTTGGCGACGACGCCCAGGCGGGTCGGGCCGCCGCGACGCGGGCCGTGGCGGCCGAGGGCGACCCAGGCCCCTTGACTGTCAGCGCAGAGCGTGCGGTCGTAGCGGGCTAGCAACGTCTTTCTCAGCGCTCGATTCCCTTGTTGATGACAGGCCCTGATCGCCTAATTCGGGCCATCTGCCCGCCCGAAAAGGCGCCCAGCGCGCGCGACCCGGCCCCACCGCACCTGTACGTCCCGCCGCTGATGTCACGCCCCGTCAGCGGGTCGTCCACCATCAGCCGGTCCCGCGCCGACCGCCCGCCCCCGCCGCCGCCCTCGTCGTCATCGAAGCTGTCCGATGACATGCTGTAGTAGCTGCCGCCGCCGAGGGCCATCTTTGGGACCACGCCGCCGCTGGCCACGCTCACGGCATCTGAGGAGGTGGCGGGGCGCAGCAGGGCGCGGCGGTGGGGTCCACAGAGGCTACGGTGGGCAGCTGCTGGCAAATTGTGCAAGCTGGGCCGCGCGTCACAGGGCCGGTCAGGCGGATGGCGCGTAGTTTCTCGGGGTTTTGGGTGGGGGGCCCATCGCCGTCGTGCAGGCACTAGCTTCAAGCATGGCTGCCCACCGTGTGGCGCAGGCCCAAGCGCCTCGCCTCATTACTGCGCCGGATGGCGCGAGCGGCGGGCGACACACGAGGTCTGCTGATGATGATCGCACCTGCTCCATAGTCGAACTCTTCTCCGTATCGCACCAGGAAGCTATAGAGCGCCTCCCCCAGATCGAACACGTCATTGCCGGCCTGCGGGGATGAGGTGCACGGATGAGGCAGGAGTTTCATGTGTGTGCATGTGAGGGGAAGTATGCGTGGGTGTAGGGGGTGCCTAGTGTGGTGTTCATGCGTTCGTGCGTGCGTGTATGCGTGCGTGCGTACGTGCGTGCGTGCGTGCGTGTAAGTGTGAGTGTGCGTGTGTGTAGGTGTGTGTAAGTGTGTGCGCGCGCGCGCGCGTGTGTGTGTGTGTGCTCGCGTCCGTCATAAGTGCGTTCGTGCATGCATACGTCCGTGCGTGTGTGGGAATGTACACGCAGCCGGTCTGAGAGTGTATGCCTGGGGAGAAAGGTATACGGCTGCGCAGAAAGCGATGCGTCGCCATGCGTGCCAGCAAACGCAGCCGGCAGCCAGGGGCTTTCCCAACCAGGAGCCGCCCACACCAGCTCCACACCCCCAACACCAGCAGCACCCCACAAACCACACAACGCGTCCTGCCCAGCGTCCCATGCGCAAGTATCCTGTGCGCATGTATCCCGCAAGTATCCCGGTGTGTGTATTCTGTAAGTATCCCGGAAGCGTCCCAGGGGCTGACCTTGATCTCCTCCTGCAGGTGGGCGAGCACCATGAGCGTGAGACTATATGAGGAGAGGCCCCCGTTGGCGACCTCATTCAGGCCGCAGCGCCGCAGGTACACCTGGAAGAGAGGCAAAAAGGGGGGTGGCAGGGCGAGGAGGCGTCGCCGCGTGGAGCTGGGGGCAGGGGGAGGGGGGTT